CCTTCCGCCATGTTTTCTTTCTTAACCCGTCTCACATGGACAGATGACTCTTGTCCTTGCCAAGAAGACCCTTCCCTTCTACATCCACACATCATGTCATTCTGTCACAGACTATTACCCTATCATCCCCACCCTCAGGAATCTTCCATTTCTTCCTTTCTCCTTCTGCCTAAAAATGCACCCTTGCCTGATCCACCCATCCCTATGAGTTATCATCCGAAATTTCTCCTCCTGGAGAAAAAAGTCATCTGTAATTAGTGCCTTGACCTCCTTTTCTCTCACTGTCTTAACTCTCTGCAATCTTGCTTCCAACTCCATCATTCACCTGAAACTGTATTTTCCAAAGGTACCAATAATCTCCTAATGACTAAATCTAATGGTCTTTTCTCAATTTCCATCCTTCTTGACATCTCTTCAGCCTTTGACACTGTCACTCAGCCTCTCCCACTGGGTATTCCCTTCTCTCCTGGTTCTCCTGACAGCTCCTTTTATCTCCTTTGCTGGATCTTCATTCAGGACCCACCCATAAGCAGAGGTGCCCTCCAGGCTCCATCCTGGGCCCTCTTCTTTTCTCCCTTTATACTATTTCACTTGGTGGTCACATTAACTCCCATGGATTCAATTAGCATCTCTATGCTAATGATTCTCAAATCTAAATATGCCGCCCTATCCTCTCTCCAATACTCCATTGTCACATCTCCAGGTGCCTATTGGATATCTCAAAATGAGTGTTCATTACACATACTGGATAGATCTCCTGGCCTGGAGTCAGGAAGACCTTAGTTGAAATCCCACCTTTGATACCAGCTGTGTGACACTGGGAAAGTTACTTCACCTCACAGCTTCCTCATCTGTAAAATGGGGATAATAATAATAGCACCTAACTCCCATGGCTGTTGTTAGGATCAAAGGAGCTAATAAAGTGCTTCACACAGTGCCAGGTACATAGTAAGTAGTATATAAATGTTAGCTGTTATTATGATTATTATCTTAAACTCAGCATACCCAAAGTGAACTCATTATTTTCTCCCACTTTCCCCTATTCCTAACTCTTCCCTATTACTGTCAAGGGTACTACCATCCTTCCAGACCCAGGGGCTCACAACTTAGGTGTCATCCTTAACTCTCTCACCCCCATATCCAATCTGTTGATTTTGACATTCCCAACATCTGTCATAAATGCCCCCTTCTTTCCTCTGACACTGCCTCATGCCTGGACTAATGCAGTAGCCTAATGGTTGATCTGCTTGTCTAAAGTCTCTCCCCACTCCACTCACTTACCAAAATGATCTTCCCAAAGTTCAGGTCTGTCTTACTGTGTCACACACTTCCCTGTATATTAGTCAAACTCAAGGGGCTCCCTATTATTTCCATAATCAAATATACAACCCTCTGTTTGGCTTCAAAACCCCCTCAAAACCTGGACCTTTGCTCCTTTTCCAGTTTCCATTTCCTTTACTCCCCTTCGTGTCTTCTCTAATCCAGTGACACTGGTCTCCTGCGTGTTTCTCACCCAAGACACTCCACCTGCCAACTCTGGGCATTCTCAGAGGCCATCCTCATGCCTGGAGGGTTCTTCCTCCTCACTTTCACCCCCTGGCTTCAAGAAGGGGACACTGAAGGTTGGATAGGAATGGCGGATGAGATAAATGGAAGAGCTATGTCTTTTGGGAGGCAAGGCAGGAAGGGAAGTGGAGGCTTTGGCAAGAAAGATGGAGCCCCCCTCCCCATTCAAGGCAGTATGAAAGATTAACAGGGAGATGTTGAGCTCGAGACAAAACTAGATAAAAATGAACAGCACCAAATGGCTTTGATCTTTACATTATAAATAAAAGGCAAGGTCTTCTGAAAATGGGAGTGGATGAGTAGGAGCTGGGGCCTGGAGAATATAGTCATTAGGGTGGGGAAGAGATGAGGATCCTGGGAGCAAATAAGGGAAGAAAGTTCCGCACTCACTTCAGGGCCTTGCTTAGTTAATCTGATACTCTCATTACCAGTCATACTTACAGGGGTGTGCTTGTAAAAGTTTAACAACCAGCCCCGAGTGAAGGGGTAGGGGGTGGTTACACACAACACCTTTTTTTTATTTTTCTTTTTGAGACAATCAGGGTTAAATGACTTGCCATGAGTCATACAACTAATAAATGCCAAGAGCCTGAGGCCAAATTTGAACTCAGGTCTTCTCCAGGACTGGTGCTGTATCTAGGCACTGCCACCTAGCTGCCCCACATAACACATTTCTAAGTTTAATTTGCATCAACATTTTCTGCAGTCACTTTCTTAACTCTTAGAGTGACAATCCACAAAATAATAAATCAAGCCTTGATTTGTGGCATTTGCCAGTTCCAGACATGCAAGTACTCACACTGAAACTTGGCTCTCAGGAGCCTGGCAGAGCTGGCTCCAGCACACCCCTTCTCTGCTTATCACTGTCACGTTTGTTCTTAGAAGGCTGAGAGGTTGGACACATCTTTCTGGTCAGTTTGAGTAGTTTGGTAGTCTTCATGTATTGCTGTGTCAGGGGAAAAAAGCCCAACCCACTACTTGGGAGCTAACTTAAACTACGTTAGAAATAAAGAGGAAAGCTCTTGATCAGATTATTGCCAAGCCTGGCTGAAATCCAAACTTGCAGCCTTGCCAAGAAAAGTGAATTAAGATGCACCTCCCTGCCTTCTGTGACCTCTCAAAGCCAAGTCTTCTGATCTCCTAAGTCAGTGATCAGCTCTTTGCATCAAATATAACTTTTCAAAGGCCCCTTGCCACTGGGGCCACTATGTTTATTCTCACTTCCAGTAGACTGGCAGTGGGTTGGGGCAGGGAAGGATTTATCTGGTTTCCTTTGGTGCTTTTAATAACAGGAAAGATTTTTCTTCCACCTTTCCCCAGTGTCACTCAGTTGCAGGTAAAGAAATTAAACAGCTTGTGGGAGTGCTAATTAGGGCCAATTATTTCTTGATTGACCCCCTTTGCCACGGAAGTGGCAGATAGAATCCATTCTGTCCTCTAGAAGGAGAGTTCCGGCTGCACATCTGCTTTGTAAAGCACATCCCTTCCTCCTGGGAGTTCTCCTGCTTCAGACCTGACTGCAACACTTCTCTCCAGGGCACTCAGTTCCTTTTAAGTAAATGCCCTAATAAAAAAATGTATTGTAGTGAACAGAAATTAGCCAGATGCCTATAAAATCTATCTGCCAACCCATGCAGAAAAACAGCCCCCAATGAGGCATGATCTAGACATGCACTGGGATCAGCTACATAAGAATTACTTTTTTTTATTTTGTAAATCACCTTTCAAAGCAATCCATAGCCATGGGCTTCCTTGTATAAATGAGGATAGGCTGGTTGGAGACAGTATTCTCCCACTTCATAGGTGGGCATAGAAAAGCTTTGGGACATTCCAAGTCTAATGATCAATGACCAAATCAAAAAGGTCTCCACTTACAGCCCATTTTCCTTATTTTCCAGCTGAAAGACAAACATGAAGAACATTGGATTTGGAATCAAGTCCTCTCCCCCGCCCCATTTTCAAGTCCCTCTTCTACCTGTGTGACCTTGGGCAAATCATTATCTATGCCTCAGTTACCTTATCTGTAAAATGAAGGGGTCAGATTCAGTGATCTGAAAGGTCCCTTCCAGCTATAAACACATGCTCTCCTGCCTTTATTAAGCAACCACTGTGTACAGAGCTACTGTGCTAGACTTGGGAAAAGATAAAAAGTTGAACTTAGACCATCTCTGCTTTCATGTGGTCTGTAGGATATAGCACAGGAACAAGACAAATGCATAAGTAGCTATAATATGCAGTATTACCTAAGCTGATTAAAGAAATCGAAGATCAGAACAGTAGAATGGCACCAGATGGCTTTCAATACAAGCCAAAGTTGGTTGAATTTTACTGGCCAGGCAACAGGAAGCTAGTGAAGATTTTTGAGCACAGGAATGACCCAACCTGATTTATGCATAAGGAAATGTGTGAAGAAACTGTGTCTGGTAAGGCTGGATTGGAGACAGCAGAGTCAGAGACAGCTGCTCAAGTACTATTAACATCCTGGGTTGGTGAAAATGAGATCCAAATCAATTAGGATAATTGCGGAGGAGGGAGAGTTGATATGAGAGGGGGCTATGAAGTGGGACCAGAAGGATCTGGTAACTGAATAGGCATGAGAGGTGAGGAAGAAGAATCCAAGAAAGACCCAAGGTTACAAGCTGGGACCCAGTCAGGCCAAGCCATTACAAATGCCAGAAGCTGAAGGACATCTTGGGTCCTTCATTTCCAGTTAGCTCACCACTTCCCTGCCTCCATGACTTGGTCTTTCGGGCCTTGACTGCCAGACTTCGCCTCTTGTTCTCCTCCTGCCTTGGTCTTCACCACCATCTCTAACCCTTTATTTTCACAGCAAAGGACATCACTTGCCTACAGTCAATAGTAGTAAGTAACAGAGTTTGGGCTTCTAGTCCTCATAGTCTGCCTCCTCACCCCAGGCTCTTCCTGTGGTGTTGGAAAAACAAGCTCACTCCCTCACCCCAGGTGATGGCGTCTCCAAATCAGCTCGAGGTAATCTAAATCTCAGATGACCCTGAAAACAATGCAGGTGAAAGTGTTTGTCGAGGCCTCCACTTACCCCCACTGGAGAGCACTCCCTGAGGCTAAAATGAGATAATGTATGGAAGACCTTTCAACGCGTGTGTGTGTGTGTGTGTGTGTGTGTGTGTGTGTGTGTGTGTGTGTGTGTGTGTGTGTGTGTGTGTGTGTGTGTGTGTGTGTGTGTGTGTGTGTGTGTGTGTGTGTGTGTGTGTGTGTGTGGCAATCATATTTTATCGTTTACTACTACAACTACCGCCACACCATGAGTAAGGCGGGGAACCGGCTTGAGACTGAGCTGCTAGAGGCATTAGACACCCAGCATATTGCAGGTGTGATGAATCACCGAATTTGAGAGTTGGAAGGAATCTCAGCTACCAGCTAGTCTGACGCATACCCAAAATGAATTTTCCCTACAGTATACCTAAGAAGTAGTCATCTAGACTCCAGTGGAGGGGAACTCATGGAAGGAAGGAAGGGAGAAAGGGAAGAAGGATTATCTGCCTACTTCGAGCCAGGTGCTGTACAAATATTATCACATTTGATTTTCACAATCACACTGGGAAGTAGGTGCTGTTATTATCATTATTTTGCTGTTGTTTTCCAGCCATTTCCGACTTTATGACACCTTTTGGGGTTTTCTTGGCAGAGATACTGGAGGGGGTTGCCATTTCAGTTAGGGTCACACAGCTCATAAGTGTCTGAGGCCAGATTTGAACTCAGGAAGATGAGTCTTCTTGATGCCAGGCCCAGCACTTTACCCACTGTGTCACCTAACCACCCTATTTTATAGTTGGGAAAACTGGGGCAAACAGAGATTAAATACCTTGCTCATAGTCACACAACCTGTACTTGTCAAATTTGAACTTGGCTCTTCTGACTTCAGGATAGAGTGGATAAATCTGGAATCAGAGAACCTGGATTAGAATTCTCATTGGACCACTTACTGACTAGGTGACCAGGGTGGGGGTGGGGTCCAGATCTCTCTTGTCGGGCTTCAGTCCCCTCATCTATAGAAAATGGAAGGGCTGGACTAAGTAATCCCCATCCATTCACTCAGAGCCTCACCATAACCCAGAGAGGTAGATATTATTACTGCTATTGTTATCTCCGTCATACAGATGAAGAAACTGAGGCTGGGAGAGGTTCAGGACCCCATTCATCATGTTCACATAGCTAAAATGGGGGCAGTTTGTGGATTCCAGTGGAGGCACCCAGGACTTGGAGTCAAGTGACTTGGGTTGGACTCTTAGCACTACCATGTATTATCCACGTGACCTTGAGCAAGTCACTCTCCCTGGGTGTCAGTTTTTCCTCATGTACAAAACAAGGAAGTACAGGAAGCCTTCTCTAACCCCAATTAAGTCAATGTTTTCCCTCTTTTAATTATTTTCTATTTAACCTATATAAAGCATGCTTTGTTTATATGAGTTTACATCTTGTCTCCCCCATTAGATTACAAGCTCTTTGAAGGAAGGGACTGACTTTGGCTTCTCTTTTGTATCCTCAGCACTTAGCATAGAGCCTGCCACATGGTAGGCACTTAATAAATGTTTACTGAATTGAATTGGCTTGCCAACATCCCTTTCATATTTGTGTCTACAATTCTATGATACTTATTTGAACCCAGCAGTTCTTCAGAATATGTGGACCTGTTTCCTCCCTCATTTAGGCTTTTTGAGGGGGGAGTTTCCTTATTTCTAAACCACATTTGTTATAGTGCAGCTAGTTGATATGAAACCAGTAGCAATTTGATGCTTTGGAGAAGATGAATGTCTGGCACCTTTGCATTTAGTTTCTGAGGTGAATTTTGAGTGCTTTCTGGAATGAACATAATAGCCCTTTTAATTTTTAGAGTGTTTTAAGTAACAGGGAAGCAGAGATCCACATGAATTGATTTTTCTTCCATTCCCTGACCTAATGTGGTTTTTTAAAATTAATTTTCACATTGGCCTGATGGTCCTGATTTATTTAATTAAAGGGGGAAAAAAGCACCATTTGCTTAAAACCAAAAGGTAGGAATTTCTTTTCCCCCTTATCTTTTATCAGTTTAGCTTTCCTTATTCACCTAACCCCAAGCCCAGGATGCTATTCCAGCCCAGCACACTCTGTATGCACTACTTTTCACCTTAATTGGGCCTAGAACTCTCCAAGGCACCTACTAATGATTTGTCAGAAGGGCCTGGGATGCATGTTGAGTAGGCGTGTGGAGCGGCAGCTGACCTTGTGCGCTGGCTGGGCATTTACCAGTCTTCTCCTGAAGGTGAAATAACAGACTTCTGGAAAGCCTGACTGCAGTGCTCCAAGGTTTGTTTTGTCAGTCAACAGCAGTTAAGAAGCAGTTATTAAGGACTCGTTAGGTGCCTCTAAGTGCTGGAGATACAAAGAAAGGCAATTACTCAAAACAACAAAGCAGGCATTAGAATGATGTCAGTCACTCTGAGGCATGAGAAATCTCAAAAGCTGAATTTTGGTCTTTTTTTTTCTTTTCCTTTTTATGATTCCCCATATCCTTAATTATAACTCATTTCTAAAATGTGTTAAAAGTTTACAAGGCACCTGACAGACAGGATCTCATTTGTATCTCACAATAACCCTATGGGGTAGGTGCTTCAACTGTTATCCCCATTTTAAGGGTGAGAAGGCTGAGGCTCAGAGTAATGAAGGTACTTGCCCATATTCACATGCCTAGGAAGTATCAGCAGCACTGAGACAATGAGAGGTTAAATGACTTGCCCAGGGTCACATAGCTAATGGGTGCCCCCCTCTCTTCTCTCTCTTTCTGTCATATGTATATACACCCACCCATATATACATGCAAATACATACATATATAAGAATTCAGTTCAATCTAGTTCTCTGACACTCCACTGGAGACTTTCTTCCAAAGTGACATTGATCATTGTTCACTTTGATTTGTAATGAATTAGGCGGGGAGTTATTTTCGAATGAGCTCTAGATTTGGAGTCAGAATCCTACATCTGCTATTTTCTGTCCATTTGACTTTGCATTAGTTACTTTCCCTCTAGACCTCAGTTTCCTGATCTGTAAAATGGGAGGAGGGGTGGACTAAATGTTCTTTGAAGTCCCTTCCAAACGTAAAGCTTCTTCTGAGGATGACGAGGGACATATCCTAGAACAGCAGTTCTTAACCTAGGGTCAGTGAACTTGGTTTTTTAATATTTTGATAACTATTTTAATATAAATGGTTTCCTTTATAATCCTATATTTTATGCTTAGAAAGATAAAGCATTAAGTACTTGCTAATCAATTAGTCAGTAAAGATGTATTAGGTATCTCCTATGTGCCCAGTACTGTGCTAACTGCTGGGAGTACAAAAACAGGGAAAAGACAATCCCTGCCCTCAGGGAGCTTACAATCTAATGGGGGAGATAACAAGCAAACAAATATTTATAAAGAAGTTATAGTGGCTCAGTGGATAGAGCTCCAGCCTTGGAGGACAGGAGTTCAAATCCAGTCTCAGACACGTGACACTTACTAGCTGTGTGACCCTGGGCAAGTCACTTAACCCTGATTCCCTCACCAAAAAAAAATTTTTTAAAAAGCAAAAAAAAAAAAAAGAAGTTATAGACAGGATAAATAGGAAGTAATTAACAAAGGAAAGACACTGGAATAAGAAGGGTCAGGGAGGGCTTCCTGTAGAAGGTGGGATTTTTGTTGGGATTTAAAGGAAATGAGGGAAGTCAATATTATATACTAGGCACTGTGTGAGGTGCTGGGAATACAAATACAAGCCCAAAGGCTTCTTCTCTGTCTCTTTTGCTAGATCCTCATCCTTCTCTTCTCCCTCTATGCTATACTGAACTTGGTAATCTTATCAGCTCCCATCTCCTCTATACTGATGATTCTCAAATCTACCTTTCCTGCCCCCCAAACTCTCTGACCTCCAGTCTCACATCTCAAACTAGATGTCTAGTAGACCTCTGAAACTCAACATGTCCAAAACCAAGTACCTGGTACTTTGCAGAGTTGTAACCAGGCCTATGTAACGCTAAGGCTTTCTGTCCACTATATTCAGCTCACTCTGCTGCCACGTAGAAGGGAGACTCAAAAACTTTCCAAACGACTGAGGATTGGTTTTGTTTGTTTTCTTTTGATTTACAATTGTAGCAGAATGTAAGCTGCTTGAGAGTAAGGACTGTTTTTTTTGTTGTTGTTGTTTTATCCCAGACCCTAGCCCCAGAACTGTAAGTAGGGACTTGGGAGTAATGCTATGGGCTAAATCAGAAGAAATCACTCACCCCTGGGGTACTGTCACTTATGGTGGGGGGAATATGTCCTCTCAATTTTCTGCCTGTGTGTCAATCTCCAGGCCCCTTACCCTAGATAACAGCTCTTCTAGGCACACCATAAGGCCTAAATGTTTATTGAATTGGGTTAACTTAGGATAGTAACATGTGCACCCCTGTCTGCAGGGCTTCGGGTGGCTTTCTTCTTCAGAAACCATTACGATGGGTAAGACCAGATTCCCATCAACTGTTAAGTCATGAGGCTGGTCTAGGTTAGGCCTAGAATCATAAAGTTATTTGGATTGCTAATCTACGTCCTTGCTTCCTTTTCTTCATGTGAACCCACAGTAGATGAAGGGAATGTCAGCAGTGGAGTAGATGGAGGTCAAGGCCTCAACGATAGCTCAGAGGGAAACTCTCAGAGTTGGGAGGAGAAGCAAGAACAACTCAAGACCCTGGAGGGAGAATTCGCCATCACTATGTGGGCCACAGATGAAGAAAACAAGATGATCTCTGATTCCATGATAGAAAACCAGGGGCTCCTGGAAGAAGCTCTAGCTTTGGAGGAGCCTGAGAATCTGACCAAAAAGCAGCTCCCTCCTGAAGAAATGACTCTGATCAATCTCTCCGATCCCAAGCAACTGGCTGAATTTATCCATCAAAATAAATCACCTCATGAAGCTGAGAAAAAGCTGCCTTGCCCTCATGAAGAATGTCCCAAGCTGTTCAGAGATAACTCCGCCCTGCGGAAACATCTGCATACCCATGGTCCCAAGGGTCACATCTGTGCAGAATGTGGAAAGGCTTTCGTCGAGAGTTCCAAACTAAAGCGACATAAATTAGTCCATACTGGAGAGAAGCCCTTTCAGTGCAAGTACAAAGGTTGCGGGAAGCGCTTCTCCCTCGACTTCAACTTGCGCACGCACATGCGTATCCACACTGGCGATCGCCCCTACGTGTGCCCCTTTGATGGCTGCACCAAGATGTTTGCCCAGTCAACTAACCTGAAATCTCATATCCTGACCCATGGGAAGACAAAATGCATCAAGTAAAAAGAAAGAGGAAGGAGGTGCTTACATTCATACGAATATGATTGCAAATAAACACAGGTTCCCTTTGTTGTAACATTTATAGAAAATAATTTTTCTAAATCAAATCCCATCCACATGGTTCTGTGGGTTCACCTTATCCAAGAGAAATCACTCTTTCCCTCTGATTTCTACTTTCTCCTCCTCCTCAAAAATTCTCTCTTTTCTTTCTACTACTTTTGCAGTACTTCAGGCTCGCTCTTCCTTTCACCTTCCACCTCCCCACCTCGCACCCGACATGTAATCAGTTGTCAAGTTTGGTGGTCCTACCCCTCCAACCCCTTATATGGGCCCCTTGCTCTCTACGCATAAGGATACCACCCTAGCTTCTGACTTGATCTTCTCTCTGTTGGACGTTGCAACTGTGTCTCAATGGAGTTCCTTCCTTTCAACCCAGACTTTCCCCTCTGCCTGAAATGTCCTCCCCTCCTTAACCTCAACCTATCAGATTGCCTTCCTGATCTCCCCAGTTTTAACTCTCCCAAACCCAGAAGATATTAGTGTTTGCTGTTTGTTCCAAGTTATCTTGTGTTATAACTTCTGTCTTTACATGTTATTTCCCCTATGAATTGTGAGACCCTTGAGGGAAGGGGTTGTTTCTGAAATCTGCCTCTGTATGTAAAGACTTATACATGATGACAAATACTTAATAAATGTTGGTTTACCTAAATGGATTTGAAATTCAAAGAGTCACGAAGTCTCCTTTCTTTATTTTGTCACTGTCTGAAGAATATGGCTTCCTCTGGCTTTGAGTCTTTCTTACATTCAGAAGCTCCTGTTTCTGATCCTTCGGGCGGTTCCCTAAATTCCACGAGTAGCTGGTCCCCTTGTCCCTTCTCTTTCCTGTTCCCTCCCCTTGGAAGATAAGCACAGGAACATGGGGACAGCTTAGCTTCCCCACCATAGCTTCCCTTGATGAATGAACTTCCCCTTGAAAAAGGTCAAACCTATTTTTTTTTCTTTTAAATAAATGCACACAAGGGAGGCAGCATGGTATGATGGAATGGGCTCTGGCTCTGGGATCAGAAGTACTGGGTTCAAGTATGATCTCTGAGGCTTACTGCCCATGTGACCCCTGAGCAAGTCATTGAATCTCCTTAGGCCTCAGTTTCCTCCTCTGTAAAATGAGGGGATTGGATAAGACGGCCTCAGAGGTCCCTTCCAGCTCTAGATTTATGATCCAAGGAAGGACATTTGAAATAGGCAGATAGCAATTTCCCTGCAGTGTTAAATGAATATCTGCTCAGATTGAAGAAGGAATGAAATCCCCCAAGAAGCACTCTTAGATTTTCCTTTCTACCTGTATATATAGCAAAACATACATGTCTGCCTCAGACAGACAGTTAGACCCTATTGGATTAGTGGCATAAGGAAGAAAGGGAAGAGTCATGTATTAAGTGCCAATGTGCCAGGCACTGTGCTAAGCGCTTTACAAATGTCTCATTTGAAGAGTGATAAAAGGGGAGGATAGATAAGAAGGGCAATGTTGATGCAAATTTCATATGGCAAAACCAGAATGCAGGTCTAGCAAGCCAGCTTTTCCAGAACTGTTGGGTTATGTCTTCAGGCATGTCTATATGATGCCAAAACATCTGGAGGAAAAGTGACAGTTTTGGTCACTACCCCAGCCACAATGCCAGAAGCTGCTGGAAAATGGTTTTATGTAAACATGCCCTCCCAGTTTCATTGGGTGCTTATGTCAAAGAGGCAACAGGATAGTAAAGCATATGGAATGCTACCATAGTAGGTATTGCATTCAGAGATAAGGGCTTGGGATTAGAAGAAGTGAAAGGTACTGCCTATCCATATACTGGTGAATTAAATGCAACCCAAACCATCCATTACCTCGAAATCATTTTCACCCATTGAGAGAGCCACAAATGGTACTCAGCATTTGGGAAGGGGCCAAAGGCACAGGTGGAAGGTTTGCCTTGGAAAGGAAAGAGATATAGATATAGATAGATATATTTATATTTCTATATATATAATTTTGATATAGAAAAAGAGAGGATGGAAGAAGATTATAGAATCAAATTTTTGTAGAACTTTAGCACAGGAAGGGATTTAAAAGATGATCCAATGTGTTTTCCCCACCCCCCTCAACGTACTGATGAGGAAGGTGAGGCTTAGAGATGTCATGTGACTTGGAACGGTGAAGACGGACAGTAACAGAAAGGAGGATGTGATAACAAAATATTTCTGAATAGGAACAAATGGAACTTGTTAAGTAAGAAACTAAGTCAGTAAGATAGGAGACCAAGCAAAATAGAATACTAAGGAGTTTGGCAAGCATGGCAAAGATTCAGAAAAGCTGCTGTGGATAGCATGATAAGAAAGCAGTAAAATAAACAGAAGGTTTATCAGGTTGGAGTGAAAACTGGAGTTGACCTCTAGGGACCCTGGAATTATAGCATAATGAGATTTTTTCCTCAGCCCTAAATTTTACTGTACTGAAAACTGCCCCAAGTGTTTTGCTCCTTTTGTCTGAGCAACAGACTGCTAACTCCAAGATGTAGGAAAAAATAGACAAAGAGTAAATCTAAATTAAAGACCAAAGACTTTCTATTTATAAATAAATTTATACTGAACCAATTAGCCTAGAATCTTAAAGTTTTGAAGAGACCTTAGATATCATCTCAGTTCAAACCCTTGTTTAGTGCATGCATGAACACCTTTGACTGTGAGCTAATGGGAAATCAGGATTTGGGTTACTACTGCTGGTGTGGATCAGTTTTCATAGGGGTTGGTCCATCCACGATGAATTAGTCCAGCTGAGCATAACCACAATCTACCCTAACTCATCTGGCAATGTGCATCCCACCTGCAGTCACAAAGTTGTGGCAGACCATACAACATTCTCCTATCCTGCCTGCTGGACATGATGTGGGAGTTTCGGGATATATGGTAAGAGCTAGAGTGTGAAAACAGGACCTAAGACTCTACAGACAATACAAACTACCTTTAATGTAAACAGCAAAAGAGCCTAACTATCCCATGGGAAAATTTGCATGTGACCCCGGGCCATCCCTGGCACTATGCCTTTTTGGTTCTGTTTCTATATAATATCTAACCTGGCCTAAGGGTGGTGCAGAGATCTACCACTGTACTGCTGCCAAGAATGGGTCTTGTGAGTAAACTCTCCCAATTAATCCAATCAGCCCCAATAAATCTACACATATATAGCCATGCTGACTTGGTCTGCTTTTTCCTTTGGTATCTCAGTACCTTCCCATTACCTTAAGACTGTTCCTTTGGACAGTTTGTGTTCTTACAATTGACATAGTCAGCAGGATAACAAGGAAATAGGCTTGGGGAGACAGGCCTTCCTTGGGGGCAATCCTTAGCTGCTCACCCATATACCTGGAGGAAGGCACATATGCATTCTAGATGCCTGCCCTGGGCTCAGGAGACAGGCTTCCATGGAGGGGTGGGGGGAGAATCCTCAAGGTGGTCACCCACACCCTAGGAGGAAGGGTGGCCCATCAGCCAGGGGTAATCCTGGGTGTGGCCAGCTGCATGAGTTCAGGGATGCCTGGATGGAAAATTCCACTTGATGGAAAATTTATAGCCTTCTAGGCAAACATGAGACTTCCAGTGCTGTTAAGAGTGATTTTGAAATGGCAACTGTACTTCTTGTTATAGGACACAGAACAGAATGAGCTCAAGTTAAAAGACAGAAGTGACTAGGAATGTTTATTGGGAAGACAAAGGATGGAATGGGGGAAAATAAAACGGAGAGTTTCTCTCTCTCTCTCTCTCTCTCTCTCTCTCTCTCTCTCTCTCTCTCTCTCTCTCTCTCTCTCTCTCTCTCTCTCTCTCTCTCTCTTTCACTTCCTCCCTCCCTCCCTCACCCCTCCCATCCAGACATGTCAGAGGGCAGAGAGGAGAGAGACAGAGAAAGGAAAAACTCAAAAAGGAATGGGACATGATTGGTAAAGGAAGTATTGGAATCAGGGTATGCAGGAAACAAGACAAGTAAAGTTCTGAAGGGTAATAATTCCTTAGGTTGTGTGTATTTGTGTGTATGTAAGATAATATGGCCTCTGGAGACATCTAGTAAGGACCAAACAGAATAGCAACATGCTTATGAGTTGTGCTTATTATCAGACAAGGAGTAAATATTCAAAAGGCTAGTGAATGAAAGTGTCATCAGTAAAGGAATATTTGGGCCACCCTCTCACAGCTGTCTGTGTGCCTGTGTTTGTGTGTCTCTCACAGTCTGTGTGTCTTGTAATTGTGTGCAGAGAGGTTAGAAGAAAACTTTGCCAGAAAATCTATCATCATGTGTCTTGTTAACTAACCTTTTTTCTGAAAAAAAGAATGTAAACCACTCTGAGGTCATTAAGCTTTCAAAAAAGGTTCTTCCTTTACCTCTACATTCCTGAACTATGGTCAGGTTTGGGGAGTATGGATGAAGGAAAGACAAGAAAGGAATATTTTCCCTCAGACCATATAATGTTTTTATATCGTAAACTAATTAGAAACTGAGTTTGGGACTAAAATAAAAATTCTCTACTGTGAATCCCTAAATTGTGGTTTGAATGCTTTCATAAATATTGAAATATTCTAGCAAGTTTTGGGTTAACATTCTTTAGAATTTGTTTTATGAGAATTAAGAGCATTCCCCCCCCAACCCCCATCCCCAATGACAGGTTTATTATTTTGCAACTAGAGAAAGTCATCTCACTGATTATAAAGAGGCAGGTTTTGGGGGTGGTGTCAGTGAAGTTTCAGAGTGAAGAGAGAGAAAAAAATTTAGAACTGGTACTCAGAAACTGACACTTAAGAATTTAACTCTTTCCTGGTTCACAAAAAAAGAGAAAAGGTTTGTATACATCAAGAAACAAACAAAAAGTAATTGATTTTGATTGCATTATTTAGTTAGATATGTAGGGAGTCTTCCAAAGTAAAGTACTAATCAATTTAAAATTTAAAAAAGTATTTCATTCTTTCAGAATGCTATGGAATAACTGGACAAAAGTATAAAAAGTGTGTGAAACAAAGATATGAATCTATTAATTTGTGAAGTTAAAGTCAGAAACCTCCTTTGTTTTTGTTTTAAGAAACACAATTTCATTGCAACCAGTCATCTTAGTGGAGAATAATGTTTGTGTAATATCTATTCTACTTGAATATGGTTAACAACTGAATATGTTTCATTACTCAGTTGATGTACACTGTGCTCTGTATACAATTGGGAAATAACTACTTAGTTTATTTACTCTTCCCAACTCAAGTCTTTTGTTATAATTGGAATAAAGTTAGCATTTTCAGGTAAATTCATTTGCATAACCATTGAACCTAGGGGTGGAAAGCCTCTACCTGCAAAGAGTGTTGTTACCTATATTTTCATATATAGAATTGGATCCTAACTGGTCCTTAGCCTTAGAAATATGGCGACAATTTGCAAGGCCGTGGAAAATGAAGATATGGACCAAGGAGTATTTCAAAATTTAGTATCTTGGATAATATACTGGGTCTAGAGTCTAAGTAGCAGGGTCTAAGTATTAGTTCTATCACCTGATTTCTTGAGTGATATTGGGCAAGTCACCTTACCATCTCTGACTCAGTTTTCTCATCTAAAAATTGAGGACTGGATGTCTACAATCCCTTCCCAGTTCTGTTATAATAAAAATTCTACTCAAT